GGGGGGGGGGGGGGGGGGGGGGGGGGGGGGGGGGGGGGGGGGGGAATTAGTCCACAGCATCTCTGCGAAGTCGTAAAAAGCCGCAAAGTACTGTAAAGTTTGTGTACGGTCTGTTATAATGAGCTTTCTGCAGAGATGTACACTGTGAATCCTTATATAAACGTCGATGAAAAGGTGGAACCTGCGGACGTTATGTATCCACTGGACAGCTATGTCAGCAGTGTGTGTTGCAGCAATGGTAAAGCCACTTTTATTTGCATTTTACCTCAATTTGTTCATCGAAGCATTTCAGAGATACATTTAGGAAATTAGTAAAGTCAAAGCACTTTCACTGGTAGTGAGAGTTTGGCGAAGCCGATTTTTCATATGGAAATTTGGCGGCTAGCTGCGTGCCCTAAACTCTGCCAAAGCATTTCGACTTTCAAGTTTCGCAGAGGCGAATCTCCTCCCTGTGTTCGCTGTTGAGATGCAGAAAGAGCCTGTGAAATCGGTGAGTGAAGTGGTCAGCCACCCAACGAGTTCTGCAACTGCATTAATTTTTCTATAGGTGACGAGTGCCAAGAGCATTTAGTTGGAGAAGTGATTGGACGGCAATTGAAGCTCATTGAAGAATTGGCAGCTTTCATCGGCCAGTTGAATGTATTGATATTGGGCGCTGCTGGTTCATCATCGAAGTACCAGCAGAGTGAGGTCGCCTGCAAAAAGGTGCAGTTCGTCTGTTGAAAACTGCTATCTCATATCACATACACATATTGCTTATCTGATAAAAAATTCTATTTTCCACAAAATTTTCAGGGAATTTCATTCCACCAAAGGTGAAAAATAACGCTGAAGTTCAGAATGAGGTTTTAGAGCGAGGCAAATGCGCTGCTGAAGGAGGAAACAGGCATAAACTGTTTGCCTGCGATGCCTCCCTTCAAATCGTCGTTTTGCCCGAGTGCTATCAAGTTGACTGGTGGATGCGCGGAAGAAAATTTTTTGAAATATCTAGCGGTGTTGGGTGCCAGAGCAGGTGTGCTTTTCGATGGGTTTCCTGTTCAGATCGATTTGCCACGCTGTACGGTCAAATTTGTCACAGTTGGTGATGAGTGTAAGTTCTCTTTGCTTGAATTTAGAAAATGCTAAAAATGCCTTTCTACGCTAAATGTCAGAGAATGTGATACACCAAACATCTTTTTTTGGAGAGCCAAGGAGAGAAGCGGAGAAACAGTGCCGGGTCATTAGCAGCGCCGATATCGTCTAATGCTGTAGCTTCAGTCATGGGAAGGTCACTAGCCCTGATGACGCAGAGGGACACTGATACAGAACGACGGTCATACAAAGCATCCTCTTTTCATTTACTACAAAATGTCTTTAAAATGAACGAATCAAACTTTTAATAGTTGCGAAGTTTAGTACACTGGGCCTTTCATCGTTTCAGCTTTAACATTTTCATGGTGGCGTCGTTTTCTGACCCTTTTGTAGTGTTTCTTTTGTCTGGGGCTA